CTTTTTCTAAAATCCAAAACCCCGTTTCAAAAATAAACAAAAGTAATTGAAACCGGAAAAAAAATATTGATATATCCTAAAGGACCTACAAAGACACTCGACAGCTGACGTCGCCTCAACCGGGAACTGGATAAAAACGTTGCGAGGATGAATGGGGCAAACCAGCAGTGAGAGTAGAATTCGACGCCCGAACTTCCGCATCCACGTGTCCCGGAAAAAGGCCAATAAGAGTTTACCCGAAAGACGAACATTGTAGCTCATACTTCCAACTTGCCGTGCCACGTGTTGTCCGACCTGCAGCCGTACAACAACAACCGGAGCCACGAGGAACATCAATCAAACCCGATAGAAACGCAAGAATAAAAGAAATAAGAAAATAGAGCGAGCGAAGTAAAAGAAATATATCGATGAAAGGAACAACCTTACAAGCTTCAAGTCGCAGACCCACACTCGCATTGAGCAATATTGGGTGCGCGAGGAACTTTCTCGGATGTAGTGAGGCATAGAAGGGGAGAGAAGGACGTCTACGGTCTTTCTTTGTTTACTTGCTCCTTCTCATATTAGTCTCTCTCACTTCGTTCTTTCCTTGTTTCTTCGGGGGCAAGTTTTGAGGTAGCGAACTTGTCAATTTCGAGCCTGACAATACGGCGGATCCATAACAGCAAAAGCCTCACTGCCAAAGCGTGTGCCTGGCTCTCGCGAGGTTCTGGACACGTGGGAAAGGGCGTTGGAGTGGAAGAGGTGGTGTGAGAGAAGGAAGATGAAGTTGGAGAGGGGTTGCTCGATATCACCACTAGTGCTCCCCTAAAACGCCAGCGCCAGATGTTCCTGTCAAAATCGGGTTGCAGAGGAATAAAGAAATCGGTGAGAAAGGGGAACTTGACAAAACTGTGTAGCCTTGTGTTAATCCACAGTAGAGATGCAGCGAGAGCAGCGACGCGTGGCGGCGAAGCCATTGAGCATCGGTGTCACGTTGACGCACACTGGGGTGCGTGAACAAAAGCGTTCGGAACAAAACAAACATGCGAACATTTTGTTTCGAACGCTGTAGTTTATTCTTTTCTTGTGAAGCGAGTGAAAGTGCGTCTCCCGGCACAAACTCTTGGCATTGTCAGGGCTACGACTGCATTTTGTGATCGGCCATTTTTGTTTTCTTTCTTCCTGTGAGCGCGTGCAGTGGGCATTGTGTACTACAGGAAACCCGAGTTTAGAGCAGGTTTTAAACGCCGTGGCGTAGCTCTGTGGTAACTCCTCCACTTCGCACGTAGCAGACCCGGATTTGATTTCCGCGGGGGGCGGGAGATCTTTTTCGAGGATTTCGCGACATCAACGACGGACAGCCTACGTCCTACTGCGCCAACTTCAACGTTAGCAACGGACGTCATTAACAGTGGTGAGAACAGCACATACCAGCTCTCGCTCTAAGACGGAGAGTTCCACCCTCTAGCGTTAACATTTAGAAAATACGACGTATTTGCGTCTGGCGATGTAGGTCCTCAACATCGCGAGTACAGAACGACAAAAAATAAAACAGTGCTAGGAGCTCCATCGTCAATATAGGGAGAGTATGATTGAAATTATTGACGAGGCATCGCCAGCGTATCCCAAGTATTATCGTGTAAGATTGTGACGTATCAACGTCGTGTGATGTCATCGTATCACGTGACATAACAGTTTAACGAGACGTTATGACCTACGTTATTAGATTGTCATTCAATGATTTCGGTCACGTACCTGCCCATAGACGCGGCTTGCTCGGGCAGCAAGCCCCTTTCCCCTAACTGTCCTCCTCTCGTCGTTCGGCGCATCACCCTTTTGCCAAACGGCTGCTATGGTAACTGCAGCGTGTGCTATAGACTGCGTATGTTTCGAAGCACAGCGTCTAGTTGGCGCTGAACCGTTTTTTTTGTGGAATACACAATCTTTAAAAGAAACTCTAGGTGGGGCTCTGAAAGACGGGAAGCAGATGGTGCGGTTCCTTCCTCCTTTTATGAGCTAATCAAGTGACGTTGGTTGTGGTAACTCGTGACGTCCCTGTGTCAGGTGACGTCATGGTGTAATGTGAATATCAAAGTATAGATCATTTTGATTTGTTGACGGACTTTAGTACCCACGGACCTCTATCGCGTGTTTTATGCAAATAACTTTATAATCGCGGGGGAAGTTTGTGTGTGTGTGTGTGAGTGTATATGTGCGTGTGCGTGCGTGCGTGCGTGCGTATATATATATATAAAAACCGCGACGTTTCGCGGTTTCTGTATATATAGAAACCGCAACGTTTCGAAGGGAGACCCTTCTTCCTCAATGAGGAAGAAGGGTCCCCCTTCGAAACGTCGCGGTTTCTGTATAACTTATACATGTTAAATTAAACCTTTCAAGTTTGTGTGACCCTAGGTGGCTTCCACTTTATATATATATATATATATAAGAAGGGTCTCCCTTCGAAACGTCGCGGTTTCTGTATAACTTATACATGTTGAATTAAACCTTTCAAGTTTGTGTGACCCTAGGTGGCTTCTACTTTATATATATATAGTGAAATCCTGGTTTGGTCAGTTTCGTTGTTTAGAAGGGTTAAGAAAATAGACGAAAACGAAAAATTATATTGTTGAGAAGCTCTGAGAAACATTGAAAAGCTCTAAAAAGGTTTTTCTTAATATCTGTTCAGCACATGGCAGAAATTTTAGTGTGTAGATTACAAAATACAAAGGTCTAGAACAAATAAAGTAATAGAAACCGTAGACGAGTCGCGCGCGTACGAAATGTTTGCAAAGATATGTGACAATTTTACCTGCAAACATATACTATAAGTCTCTTTTTGAGCGGTCAAATCTGACTACTTAATAAGCTTTGTACACATATGAGGCGAACAGTTTTGAACGCTGTCAAGCATTTCGGGGTATTTGTTTTGGCAAACAAGAATGTCATGCCTGACACGCTTTACATAGTATTCGTGCATCTGGCCTATTGTAAAAGACAGCCAAAGATACCAAATTCCACCGAGCATGTAGCGATAGTAAACAACTTCTCAAAAGAAGGCCCACTAAACTTTACAAAAGGATTGAAAATAAAAACAAAATTGTTGTTTGGAGGCCACCATTAAGCTTAGAAGGACGTTAAATAACTTCGTAAAAAAAAGTGGATAAAAACACTTTTTTTGGAAATGGGGCATTGAGCTAGACAAAGGACAGAGAAACTCAACTGAACTCAAATAATCAAGGAAAAAATTGAAAAGAAGCTTGATGCTTAACAAAGCCGGGATGGACACCAAATAGTTCGTGTCTTGGAGTGGGTTGGGCAGTTAAAAAGCAGCCTCACACGCCCACGTCCAGAAACAGTTTAAATCCGTCTCCAAACACACACAAAGTAAAAAAAAAGCAGAGCGCTTCAAAGGGGCACTTCAGGGGACGGATCAGCAAATATTTATCCAGAACCAAGCACTACGCTCCAAAGCGGACGATGTAGAAGGAGGAAAAAAGAAGTAATGTTTCTAAAAAAAGGTTTAGCGCAAAAAAATAAAAAAAAATATACAGGCAAACGCGGAAGAATTTTTTTTTCGCTTCCACGAATAAACGATATTTATAAAAAAAAACATTGTGTGAAATTTCATTCCATCTTATATAGTGACAGCCGCAAATCTGAACCTATAAAAGAATCTCTCAGTTTAAGAAATAAAGAGCTTCACAGAACAATCTTTTTTTTTTTTCAGAGACAACCCGACGATAGTTTTATAAAAAAAATTGCGAAGAATGATCTAAATAAATGAGCGCGCTCAATATTAAACTTGGCAATCTATTGAATTCTGGAGACTTATCTTAGAGTTCGTTCAATGAATTAAAACGGTCAAAATTACACAATACAGCTAGTGCTCCCAAAAAAGTTATCCTCGATATGAGGATGAAACTAGAGCTCAGTTGATTCATACAGTTCAACTGTTCGGGGAACGAAAAGGTAGCAGGAGTATTATAAACGAAAACTACGGTTTTATTTGTGAAACCGCAGTTTTCGTTTAAAATATTCCTTTACATAACTTGGAGCCGTCATTTCCGCCTGAAATGTAATCCGGCCTTTCGATTGCGCCTTTTTGGGTCAGTTTTCGTAGTTTTTTCAGCAATCTGGGTTATTCTTTTCCAAAATAATATAATTATATTAGTTTGGGAAACAATTACTCAGATTGCTCTGCTTCGGTTATCTTTGAGCAACAAGAAAACAAAGGCTGCCGTCGAAGAGTTGGAGCTTTAAACCGGTACAATAGAACACTTATGAATGCAATGTTACTCATTAAGCTATCTGAAGTGTCGTCAACAAAATATAATTCGGTGTTATGTAAGAAAATTAAATGCACCTGAACACTACGACTAAGCTCGAGCTATAGGACTGAGCAGCAAGTTCTCAGTTGCCCACGGTAGTTATTTGTTAGCTTCTTCGAGCTGGGCAGTCACAGTAAATTCAGGTAAATTTAGCGGACTTTCGTCCCACTACGTGGGCGACAGCCGTATCTCCCTGAATTTAGTGAAGAATTTGTACTGGAGCATAATTGCGCACCAATTCAGGTTTGTCTGTTAAATTTAAAGAGGTAATTGAAATGGTGCAAGAATGAATATCAATGCAAGTTTCCCCACTGAAATTAAATGCAGAATTAAATTCGTGCATTTAGTGGCCTTACCTTTCCCTACACTTAGCGAGGTATTCCTATCGTTGTGGTTCTGTTCATACAGTTTGAGCTCTTCGCGCCAAATTCACAGAGGAAATTGAATCGCTCATTCTTATACGCCTAGCGATTTTCCCCAAATAAAAATAACCTAAAATCTAGTCAAACGGGTGTAAAATCATACACGAATCGGGTTTTTCTTTTGATAAATTAGGAGAGTAGTGAGGAGTCACATTTCTTCGTGAAACATTGGTTGAGTATCGGTGGAATCCTAAACAGATTCCGTGGAAGAATTACTGCACTGCCCGCAAATCCACGCATGCGAGATTAGCCCTGAGGCAGCACTCGCCTGTTGTCATCAGTGTGGACGGAAGAAGCGGAGAGTGCCCCCTGGCGGTCAAGAAGAGGTGAGTCGGGAGGCGGCGCCTAGCGTCGTCAGGACGGCGCAGAGCACCAGGCTTGAATCCAACGTCACCCGGAGCAGCGCCCCCGACGGGGACAGGTCGTGCTGCATGGCGGCACGTTTCTCGCCTACGCAAAATCAGAAACACTGTCAGAAATGCAAAAAGCAACACGCTGCACAAAAAAAAACAAAAAAACATCGTGAAAATTGCAATAAAGGACAAGCTGCTCAAAAAAAATCGCTCTATCTCCCTCTCTCTCTCTATATATATATTACGAATTCAAGGAGGTGTTTGTTGCAACCTATTATTTCCCCCCCCCTACTGTTTTAAATATTTTTCGCAATTTTTTGTTGACATTAATTTTTGCGAATGAAAAAATTGAGCTTAAAATTTATTACAATACATTTGTGCAAAAAATCTTTAGAATTATGGGAACATGTTTCTAAAATCGGGTCGACGTCACGACTTGCTTGCATATTGCACGTAACTCAACGCCTCTAGACGTAAATACTGCTCTAAAGTTTGTTATCTTTTTTTTCCCGGAAACGTTCATTTTGCAGAAAACATATTCTATCCAGACACTAGATAGACCTTTTTTCAGGGGGTGGAGTTCACTGTGTCCTAAAAACAACGCGACCCGATCCCTGAGATAAAATAAACAAAACAAACGCATCGGAAAACTTAAGGATTGCATGGTGGCGTTTGTGCAACAGCTCACAACCGTAGTTCTTCTTGCAATTATATAGAATTAAATTTTAGAAAAAGAAGAGGGAGGTAATATAAAAAGAGGTTAAACCTTTTTAACAGCTAAACGCTAGAACGTATGTCCTTGGACTTTGAATTCCAAGTATAATAAGAAAGCAAGGCCATGATTTCAACAAAGACATACTTCTTTGCCAGCATACGCATTTATAGGACAAACTCAACAATGAGCAAACTATTTTAATGTTTTTTTCCTCTTACATGTTAAGTTATTCTTCAACAATGAGTGCACCATGACGACGTAAACAAGTTACTGTAGGAATGTTCCAAATTTGTAAAAGAACAAATTGCGGAACTACGCAGTGCTCACAGTGCATCTGAAAGGAAGTTCTTATTATCTTTTGGCCTATACGTCGCTAAACGTTCATTGCGAATTGGATTTAGAATTAATAACGAGCACCACGCCTCTGGAGTTCGATATCAAATAAAAAAATATGAAAACTAAAAATCAACATTTTGTTAAACAAATTCTTAAAATAAAATAAACTCAAAGTAAGCCATAACTAAAAAAAAAGAAGACACATAATCTTCAATCACTCATCAACAATCATTAATTAAGCGAGGTGAGGAGAGAACTAACAATTGGAACAAAAAATATACTAAAAAAAATATTTAGCCTAAGTTAACCAAATATAGAAATGGCGAACGTAATAGAGGTGACCAAGTGAGTTTTCATTATCGTTTAGACGCTTTAAGAAGACCTAACAAAATTATGGTACTGGTATGTCTTATTGCCGTGTGTCTGTCTAAGCGTGTGTGGGCGAAAAGAAAAAAAAGAAAATATAGTCACCTAAAAAAAAAAAAGAAAACTGCAAGGGAAAAGTGGAGGGGGGGGGGAAGGGGGGACAGATATTTTGCAAATCAAAAGAGTTTCGCATGGGAGAGCTAGAGAGGGATAGAGTGCATGTATGTGCTCATACTAGAAGATGAATCAGTGATGTCGGGAGGAGCGTTACATCTGCAGAGAACGTCGGAGTCGTAAAAAAAAGTAAACAATAAATTGCAAAAAGAAATATAAACCAAAATGAAGAATCACACACAAAACATTTAAGCAATAGGTCTCAGAAAAGAAGAGACTGACTTTATAGATGCAAAAAAGGAACAAAACTATTGATGAAATGAAAGATGAAAGATAACCACCAATGACTCTAAAATATAAAACACCTGCTGAATTAAAACGCTATCATTTATGCCATGCATATAGATTTATATGCAAAATTCCTACGTTGGGTCGAAGGCATTGCTTTCATTCTATTCAGCCAAAACCAGATCGTCGTATAAATAAAAAAAAAAAGAAAACCCGCGACACTGAAGAGGTTCTTATCAATCTTAAAACAAGTTACGGACATGAGTGTACTATGATTTAACTTGAACAGTGTTTCAGCCCTATCGTTTGTTTCTTATTGTAGTTGCATTTTTTTCTCTTTTAGGGAACTGAGTACGCTAAAAGTATTTCTTTCACATCTTAGGATAGCTCAGACATGACAAGGAGTGTTGTCAGTTTAAGCGACTATCGGCAAAAGGGGCCGGTTTTTAATTATTCTTAACGGGTGAGAGAGCTTGGTGTTAATGGCATGACAACAGCTGGCATACACCTCTCCTTTTGAAATTACGAATTATTTCGAATCAAAATTGCACCCCTAGATGCTGAAATGTATATTAAAGTAACTTAATACAGAACAAACATCCAACTTCATTCAAGCAACATAAACAAGATAACCCCTTTTTAGTAACAAAAAAAATTACCAAAATAGTATTTCTTAAATGCAATATTACCAAAGAAGATTAAACGAGCTTATGGGTGTCTCAAACTGAGCTGATATATTTTTATACGATAGAGGATATGCATTTTTAAAACAAGAATTGTGCGAATGGCGATTTTAAATACAACCCCTACTCAGTAAATGACTGTTGCTGTGTACTGGTTTACTTGCTCACGTTATTTACCAGATTCGAGTTTCAGTCTGCGAGTCTACGCTTTGGTGGCAATCTGCCATTTTAATTCTCTTTACGACACCATTCTCACCAGTCAAATCCCGTGGCTGAAATTCCAGTCAAAATAGGGAGGTATCTTAGCCCACCTACGGAAGGTACCCTTGAAAGAAGCTTCCTGTTCTTCTTAGTAAAGCACAGCCGAAATGTTCTTAAGTTCCTTGATGAAGACAATATTCTTAGCAAGACATGTGCCTACTCCTAAACTTCCACAAGCTCTACTTGCAAGCTCTGGTCGCAATGAATGAAAACAAAATCCCGGTTTCTTGCTGATTCTTGCAAATGAACTGCGGCGAAACCCAAAAGACTGCTCAGTGTTGCGCCCATTTACACTGCCATGGTGAAATTTAGCGGACTTCCATCACGCTAAATTCAGCGGATTGTGTTCATGCGGCACAGTGGCGTCACGCCGCACCATGACGTCATGTGACACTGAATTCCACACAATCTAGAAGAAAATAGTTCTCACAAAATGTAGCAGAAAATGTTTTCCTGCTCATTCTTACGAATAGCGCAACAATTTATACGCTATATTTAGCGGAAAATTTTTGGCCCCGTGACGGCACAGTGAATCTTCGCGAAATTCGGCGGAAAAAATTGTCCCGTTAAGTGTAGAACAAATTTCCCCCTAAATATATCATAATATATTCTAACGCAATGCGAAATGACGTCCCACTGTCATGACTCGGTGATTCTCCCCCCCCCCCCCCCCTTAATTTAGCGGAGAAATTTTACCGCTGAATTTAGCGGGTCGCCACTTAGGTACACGAAACATACGCAAGATTTGCTTCCAAAAACACTAAAAAATAGCTATCACCGTAAAAAGAATTACCGTTTAAAACGTGCACGACGACGCTGGTTGAGTCGGCGTTCGACGGGCCGCACGTGTAGTTGCCCGAGTCCTGCGGTCTTGCGTTGCGAATGAAGAGGCTACTGACGTAGGCGTCCTGGCCTCGCTTGCCGCCCGAGATGTGCCCGGGTCCACCCTTGGCCGCGTCGTAGTTGATCATGCGGTCATTGTGGTACCAGAACACGAACACCGGGGGCTCCGGGCTGTGTTCGATGGCGCAGCTCACGTTGATCGAGGACCCGCTGTTGATGAACAGCTCGGGGGACTCCAGGATCCGGGCCCGGGGCACTGCGGGGCGAGAGAGGGATTCGCCCGCCGTCACTCGTGTCTCCGTCATTCAGCGGCAACGTCAAAGTGCGTTCACACTGGAGGAAAAAGAGCACGTGCCATGTCCAACTGGTGCGTTTGTTTTTTTGCGGGGGGTTCGGTTATACGTTTACGTACGCCATCCTGAGTGTTGCGTGAAGTGCTGCGAGAGGCACCAGATGACTACATGCGAACTATGGTAGGGCGTTTAGATTTAAGGGTTTCCAGTTGCTAGGTCGGAGTTACGTGGTTTGAGGGCGGAGGTTGCGATACAAGCTTGGACGGGCATTCAAAAGTGTCAATCATCTGGAAACGTCTCCACTTTGCCCCATCTCTTCATCGTCTCTATTCTCCTCGCCACTGGAATACGCATGCGTGTGCACCCAATCTGCCCAGGAAGTGTCCGCCATTAGATTGCAAACGTTTACCATTATTCAAGTTGCCCCCTCTCTTAAATCTAGGCTATCCAGTGCTAAAGTCAGCTTTTGAATGGGCTTGTTTACAGAGCTGTTAGAACAAACCTAACATTTAGTAAAGCTCGAATGTTTCGCATTTACATATCTAATGCTTGCACCATACTTTTCTCTTGTGCGGTACCTGGAGTATTTCCAAAAATATTAGCAAGGTAGTTTTTTTTTTTTTGGATAAATTACGGGTGTGCACGAATTCTCAGGTAATTTATAAACCAACTTATATTGAATCATACTTTGATCCCTTTAATTTTAGAGGTTCTAAATCACTCCGTTAAGCTATAATTATATAGGCCTGATTTCATGTTATACTTGAAATATTACTGCTTAAAAACTGTAACTAAATTTGCAATTACTTTTTCTTTTTTAGTTGCAAGTGCATCGAGAATATCTGTGATCAGGATGGCTATAAGGCTTTTTTTACTTGTACATACGTGACTACGGTAATGCTTATGTCACTTACGTTTTTCTGATGTGCAGAATATATCAACTAATGCTTAATTTACTTCGTTCTGGTTACAAATATATTTTCCCACCAATATTTAAGATTGAATACATGCAAAACGCAATTAGCGATATTTTTGTGCTTTTTAAAATAAAGGCTATGCGTTTATTGCGAACCTCTAGAACTTGTATCGCTTACAAATTTTTAGATGTGAAGAACACCGTTCTTTGTAAATCTATTCCTCGAAAAACTGCTTTTAACAGTAAAGAAAGAGAAACAAATACGCACAGAAGATCTCTCTATGTCAAACGGGTAGCCGAAAACGAAATTCCTTAATAAGATTCCTTTTACTGAAGACATCCTTTTGTGCTTCAGCGAAAGCAACCCTCGTCTCCGTCTTTCAATGCTTCGATCTTTCAAAAGACGGCTCTGCCGGAATTGACTCATCTCTCTTTTATTCTTCCAATAAAAAGCAGCTAACTATTACAAAACGAAATATTCAAAGAATACGTATTAGTCTGAACAAACAGTTCTTAAAATAAAAATGAAGACAAATTATCAAAGGGTTGAGGTGAAGGATTTAATTTCCTTTGCCGTACGATAGTGCCCAGAAAAAAGAAGAGAACGACTGGAAAAAAGTGTAATTTTTAAACCCTCGTCCTTCGCACCCCCAAAATAAAACGCAACAAAAAGACTAAAGTATTTTTTTTTCTTGAAGAATCCCGACCGAAGTACAGCATTTTAGTCTCGACGAAAATATACCTGTGGTTGGGACTAAAATACTTCCTGAATATTTAAATCGGTGGAAGCGTCTGGCTCGAACCGCCCTTCTTTTTTTTTATGAAAAGGTTGAAGTAAAGACCAGAACAATGCTAGTAATAGGTCAAACCCTGTTCATTCTTTGTTGCGCTCATGAAAAACTAAACAAACGAGAAGAAAGTGTAGTACTTTAAGGTGCCGGAAGTTAAGCGTGCGTGGAGTTTCAGAACAGAGATCCGGTCATTGTTAAAATGTAAAAAAAAAAAAACAAAAAAAAAACAGTAAAGTAGCTTACCTCCCCCTCGTACCATTGTAGAGAAAGACTGATAATTAGGGTGACCATATTCCTCAAGGTAGAAAATGGGACATCCCAACCGGAGAGGGGGGTGGGGGGTATTAGAGATTGAGCTTGGGAGAAAAAAGTTTAATGAAATAACTGCTGTTTCTTCCAAACGTCATGATATTGCACTAAATTTTACTCTCTGGGTGAATTTCCCCCGCCTGAGTTTACGCCGCTTCACGGCGACAGTATGCGGCTGCTCATTGCAAAACTAGTAACCCAGTTGGCCCCACCGTACAACCAGCAACCCAAGCAAACCCAATCCGCCGGAAAGGAAGTCCCATACTATTTAGCTCAGGAAAGTTTCGTCAACAACATTAGTTTTTCTTTTCACTGTTAATTGTAAAAACTAAATATAAATATCGCCAAATGCACGACAAAAAAAATGTTCGAAAAAAAAATGTACGCACACTTTGTGGATTGAACCTGGTGGGTTCAATGCGTGCGAAGCAGGCACCTTTCCACTAAGCTACGCTACCTTTCTTTTTTTCGAATTTAAGTTCTTTGTAATTATTCGTTCTATACGAGACCCACCAATTTTCGCGTCGTGCGTATAGCCATTTCCGGTCGAAATGCATGTGCTAGCTGCAATAATATTTTAAAGTACCTAGGGTTATTTTTGTAAAATATACTTGTAATAAGTAGGCATCGTTTCGATTTGCTTCAACTCGCTTTACGCCAATTTCGAAACTATGCACTCCTGCGATAACGGGACATGATTCCTTATGGGCACAAAAAGACGGGACGGCAGAAGCGGACCTCAAAAACGGGACTGTCCCGGCCAAAACAGGACGTCTGGTCACCCTACTGATAATCATCCACTGCTATATACATATCTAAATATTTTTATTGGGAGTTCTTGCACGCCATCTTATGAAGCCGTTCGGAGACACGACGCACAATGTCATGTCTCGCGACGCTTTTCCAGAAACATTGTTTGTCTGGCAAATGTATATTTTTTTTGCTATTTCGTGAAACACGTCTGTTCATGTTTTTTTTTTTTTGTTGTTCAATCAATACGCAGCTATTTGTTTACTGTGTATGAGTGACGAATAACACAAAATTACGACAACGGCTCGGTGCTAGGCCTCCATAGAACGACGATATGGATTTTCGCGGCATCTGCTCTTCAAGACTGGTCCAAAACATGACAGCTCCGAAGAAGCCTCGTGTACTGTCGTGTCAAACCTGCAAATATAAGACCGGGATTCCGGAAATGGCAGTTAAAGTTCAGGGTCAGGGAGTCGGAAAACAACCTACGCATCTGCATGAATATTGTCCGGATCTGAGCTGAACAAAATACATCAAAGGAGAAGTGTTGTCTTTACGGCGCGCGTCTATAAATATATATTTCCATTCATTATTTGCGTTTCGACATTAGGAGTGCGTGTCCGTGGTTTGTATATGAATAGTAATATCTTATTTATGTATTTCAATGGTTCTGAATTTCGTAATATCTAGGAATCTAAATGAAGCTGGACCTTCATTTACGTGTTTTGGTAACTAAAATGCACCAATTTCAAGGAGTTGTAAGAATGTAACTTTAATGGCAGCAATTGTGTAGTAGAACATATTTGAGCGAATAATATTTTGTTTTATAATTCGGCATTGTTATAATTTGGCATAGCAGAAAGGCTTGCAGCTGCTTGACTCTGGTAGGTCGGGGGATGTCGAGCACCGCCAGCACCTTCCCGTTGTCCAGCCTATATTGTCCAGGTCTTATTACATGGCCCAGAAACTTGGGCGACTGGCAGCACACCTGAACCTTGTCGGGATTCATGGTGAGTCCTGCTAATCTAATGCGCTCCAGAACTTCTCGGATATGTGCGACATGGCTGTCTCGCGTCTCTCAATAGACAAGTACATCGCCCATAAATGCCATAGCAAATTGGTTATTGATTCCATCCAGGACTTTGTCCTTCAGCGTTTGGAAAGAGGATGACCACCTGTAAAGACCTAACGGCATCCTTGTAAACTCGAAGGTGCCCTGGTGGCTAATGAACGCCGTCTTCGAAATTTCGTCTTCGCGCATAGGGATTTGTGAAAAAACCCTGCGAGAGGTCAAAGCTTGAAAATCACTCCGCTCTCCCGAGTTGTGCCATCAACCAGTCGGCTCGGGGCATCGGATAGTCGGATACACAGGCACCCTGGTGCGTGCGTTGAGCGGCCGGTAGAGTATGGCCAGGCGAAAGACTCCGGACTTTTTGCCCACCAGAACAGGTGAACCGGCCCACTCACTGGTGCTCTGACGCACAAGTCCTGGTTCCAGCAAGACTTGAAGGCAACTTTCAATGATCTTTTCTTTCTTGTTTTTGACGGGGTGCAACTTGCAACGAACGGATGGACTGTCTCGTGTGTCATTTCGCTGTTCGGCAAGGGAAGTGCAGCCAAAAGGTTTGGTAAGGATTGGCCCAAACATCAACAACATTCTCTTTATAGGAGCATACACTCCCGGTCTCTTGGCAGAGTCTCCATCGCCTTCAGTTGCTTTATGTCTGGATGAGGTGGCGCAAGTTGACTCCTCTTTGTAGAAGTTCTCCAGGCAGAACGAATATTCTTCTGCCCCAAGCTCGCTCCTTGCTTGCTTTAGGGCCTTCACAAATGAAACAATGCGCTGGGGCTCTGTTTCAATTGTTCATCCCCAAAAGCCACATGCAAGGAGATATATGTCACTGTAAGGAAATCCGTTTCTAAAACAATGTCTCCGCAGAGGTCGGGCATACACAGTAAACGTTGACTCCGTGAACCGGTCGCCCACCGATTCTTGCACCGAAGAGATGCAGTGGACTGGGACAATTTTGTTGCCAGTCGCAGTGTGCGCTCCTCCCTTTTTTGACTGGAGCCTGCGGCTTGAGCAGCTGCGATGGCCGGCCCACCCAAGAGACTGACGCTGGAGACTCTGTCGAGCAACGCCTTGAACGTTGACGACCCAATTGTAACGTCAAGGAGAGGCTCTTTCCCCCCGGCAGTAGTCACCACTTGCAGCGCTTTGTCGTAGATGCTCACCGGGACAGCATCTACCAGTGTCCGCTTCCCGGACACTGTGCTTGAAAATGAACCGGCTGTTGGAACCTGAAGCAGAGACCTGGACCCAAACGCCCACTCGTGGCACAGCTGCGAGCGGTGTGACCGATTCGTCCACATCTCCGGCAATGATCGACTCTTTGTTGGCGCTGATGCCACTGAGACATCGGCAGAACTGAATGTGCAACTCACCCTGACGTTGCGGGTCCTGAAAGCTGGTGCCTGTTGTAGGCTGGTTCGATTGCCGCAGGGTGGAGTGGCCAGCGATACGTCGACGGCATAGCCACTGTTGCAGATGACACAGCGGCTGCTAGAGCCGGTGCGAGAGTATCGGGCATTGGAGCCTCCGTCCCGGCAAAGTCCCTGTTACCTTGTACCCGGAAAGCTAGGTTACGGGCCACCTGGTTGCTTCTTGTGGGGGCGGCTTGTACTGAAGACGCCGCAAGGCACGCTCAGTGAGGCCATCCGCTGCCTTGGCAAGCTCGCTCAAATTTTCACACTGCGTCCCTTCTGCCAAATCCGGGAGCTGGGGATGCATTTGGCTTAGCACGCGGTCAACCTTTTCGGAGTCGGGCACCTCTTCGCCGATTCTCTCGTAAAATTCGGCGATGGTGTAAATAAGTACCTTGAGGTTCTCCTCGGGGTGTTGAGTGCGGCGTCTCAACTCGTTCTTTAGACTTCGCTTGGCGTCGATCGAGAGAAACTGGGCACGAAACAAAGCTGTGAAATCATCCCAACTGCCCAAGTCACCGATAAAACATCACCATAATTTGGCGCTCTTTTCCAGTGCCGCGGGAACGACCTGGCTGAGACGGTTTTCAGTGGCGACTCCCGTAATCAAGCAAACGTTTTCTAGCCTCTCGATAAATTCTTCGGGCAACTGTCGATCACTGAAGCCTGTGAACTTCGGCAACTGCGCCGCAATTCTTGGCAGAGGGCCCCAGATGGGTGGACTGCAGCCGCGGTTACCTCGGGTCCGTTGGCTGGGGGCGCTGCAGCAGTCAGTAGCAGTTGGCGCGCTTGAACAGAAACTTACTCCCGCCGCATCGCGGATCCGTCAGTTTGTCTTAAATGCATTCGGTACCTCCAGGTTGTCCATCTTCAATCCCGGACGAGCCCCCAGTTGTTAGGATGGAACATTAAATATCCGTTTGCAATCCAAGGACCTAACTGCACGTTCCCCCGGTCCGTCGTTGTACTCTTTCCAATCCCGTATTTTTCCCCTCGTGACCATCTTAGTGTCTACTGGGGCACGTGCGCCTGGCATAGTCCTTCGCCAGACACTCCTTACAGCGTTTACTTAAAAATAAACATCTGTGCACATTTCTTTGCTAGTGGCTTAGTTCTCAAGCCCGGACAAAACCATGAAGTTTTTCTTGTCCAAAAGTTGAAATATCAAAATGGAGGGCTGATTGGTTGCATTTCGGCACTTAAAAAATAAAATAAATAAATGTTAAATTTAATGAGTTTTGATTTTTGCCGCTCAAAGGAGATGCCACCTTATTCTTAGCTGGGCGCCTACACTGGCACGAAAGCCTGCATTTATAAGTCCAGGGACGCACATTGAAGACTTATCATAGATACCCTTTCAGCCTGTTCAAACTGTGAATAGAATGATGTCTCTCATTCTCCAGTGTCCGCGTAGCTTCAGTCGGGCACTCAGCTAACATCCCTCCCTCCTGAGAGCTCCCGATACGAACAAAAACTGAAGAAGGCGAGAAGAAATGAGCGCGTGGTGTTGTCAGAGCGCTGACCTCTGATTCGAAGGATGGTCGGAAGACTCACCTGCTTTCTCCCTTTGTCTATAACCGCTGTCGTCCTCCAAGCAGAGCGAACGAGCTCGTCGTCTGTTTCTCGACCAGGATCTGAAGTTCGGTGTTTGACGTTCGAACGCCAGACCCTGATTTCGACTTTCTGCGTTTGAACGCCAGAACATCTGCGAGGAGCTGGCCACACTTTTGTTCGCTCTGCTTGGAGATAAGGTGGCAAAGGCAGCTAGCCTTTGTGCCTACCTCCTGTCCTTCCTATCCGAGCTCGCCGCTCCGACGCCATCGCGGGCTCTCGTCACCTTCTCTCACTCAGTTTGTCTCCGTACAATCTCCCCCGGGGTTCTCACCGAGCACGGTGAGGCGTACGAAGTAGGAGATGAGTGGGTGCATGTTTATCTGGCACTCGTAGTCGCCGGCGTCCGTGGGCTGGGTGCGCTTGATCTGGAGCATCCAGTCCTCGGAGCGGTCCATGTGTACCGCCTGGAAACGCTCGTCCGCGGTGTACGTGGCCAGGCCCACCGTGAGGACGTGGAAGTCACGTCGGCGGATCCAGGACACCTGGCGAACAAAAAGTCTAAAATTAGTTTATTTAAAACATTCCTTTTAGATTGCTGGTACCTCCTTATCTTGTTGTTTAATAAGAAATATACACCCGTATTTTCCCTGCCTTAGTATATCATGACCGGTAATGAATTCCATAGAACCCATCACATAAATCCGTTTTGTTTTTTCACTATGTAACGTAACTACAAGAAAAAAAATGGAGTTTAACCCTCGTTTGAGCTTAGGACCAGACGCAGCCCGATGCTACAAGCTAATGAGTCAATCAGACAGCATCCAAAAGCGCCCCATCATGGTGTTCGTCATGTTTATGTGCAAGTTCTATCAGTGCTCTAGATTCGGGTACAAAAAATGCCTAGTTAAGCTACTTGGTTGGTCCAATTAGCTCGTAGTGTCGAACGCGTCTGCATGTAAGCTGAAACGAAGTATAGGCTGCATTTTCGTGTGGTTTAGTGCGGACTGCGCATCGGGCATTCTCAGTTTGGCATTTTTTTCTTAATTTGAAACAGCCGCAAACCTGCATATTCGCTAAAGGATTAATTGCCACCCAACAAAAGCCGAGTGTGAACGCAGCGCTCGTGCAACAAGTAACCGCTCGGATGATGTTGATACGAATAATGCAAGGGTGTCGCCCAGCATTATAATTGGTAACCGCTTGAAGCCGTAAAAAAGCCCTAACAGAGGTTAGAAGTAGGACACTCTTATTGTATAGAATTCAGAATGGACAACAAATTCAACAAATTATTTTCGCGCTCTATGCACTAGTCTTTGAGCCTCCTAATAATCAAATTACTGTTAGTAAAATTTTAACCTAAAATCGTTTCACGCTTTGAAAAAAAAATATTAAACCACCACTTACATTTTTCTATTACTTGTTTCTTTGTTACGTATTGGGTTATGCTAGCGGGAAAGATGAATCGGAGAACGAGTACAATATAAACCAGTCGCCTCTAGGAAGCGATCACTCCTGACATCTCCATCGAAAGGACAAACACTACTCGGTTTTTTATCTCGCCGATCCATCAAATGAGGTCGATACGTTCATCCGGCGTGTGGCAATTTAGAACTCGAGTCGTGGACACGACTACGCCGCGACAAACACGTCCGCATGGGAGCGCACGCGCTTCATTTTCAGGCTGCTGTTTTTTTTTTTGTGGCACATATTGGGGCATTATATCCTAAAAATTGGACATTTAAGTCACTGAACTAGTACTCACCACTTTAAGCCGCAATTTTTTTTTTTTGAAGCAGGGGTTAGAGGATAAAAATGCACCATCATGAATGAACAAAAAACTGGGGAAAGTGCTGATTAGAAATGTCAGTCTGAGAGTTACATGAGTAGCTAGATCAAATCTCGTTAGTCTTAATTCGATAACAAATAAACAATAGCCCTACATTTACTGAGTTCACTGAACTGTTCCTAGATATTCCTTGTCGGTATATTTAACGGCGTACGAGATTTTTTAAAAATCTTTTATCTTTTTTATCTTATCGTCTTGTCCTGTGTTGTATGTTTAAGTGTACAGCCGTCCTTTAACACTGGAAAATACTTCTGTGTACATCACACCAAATGATATATATTGTAAGCAAGTTCGGACAATAAATGTACAACTTGTTTAGTTTTAAGTGATAATTATACCCCCCCCCCTAACTTATTGTTTTATATAGTTATGGGTAAAATATAACCTGGACAATATTTTTAGAAATTTTGACCTTAATGTGATGCGGTAAAAACTTGCAAAACACTTCATATTTATTGAAAAACTACACACACAAATATCACCACCAAAGTTTATTTAAAATGAAAAAAAAAAATAACAGCAGAAACGAGCCCGAGCTTTACTCGCTAGACATTGTTCTCTCCTTGTGCATAGTTCTTTCTTTTTTAATAAAAAAATCCTTACATTACAAATACATAAGCTGCTGCATCCACAAAAGTAGCGCGCCCTTTTTAGGTCTAACGTTGCTCCTTCACCTCTATGCTGTGACGATGTAACATCAAGACATTGCAACTTGTCGAGAAGTTTAGATTCTTCTCAACACAAAAAAAAACATCACAAATTTCACTCCTTCCTGCGACCATATATTGCCTCACTCTATGAATAATATACGCACACAGCTAGCCGTTCCCTATAAACAAGCACCGTCCTGTCAGGCAAACATTTTCCTCTTACGTATCCCACCACACTGCCTTTGTTTCTTCGCAAAAGTAAACTTTTGCTTAAAGTTTTTTGTTATTTTTCATCGCGTGAATGTTTGGAACGCAGCACATGGATGATGCTACTTCCGCTGTCCTCAATATCGATGGGCCGCTGCGGAGTGCATGAGCGAGAAACCTTTTCCGGAGAACAAAAAGCGACCAAAGCGGGACATAGTCTTTGCGGTGAAGCCTCGTTCGGAAATCCAGGGGAGCGGAACGTTCGCACGTTTCGGGGACGTGACTCGGTACACAGTGCGACGACGGACAGTTTGACCTGCGCCACGTTCTCGCACTTCTCTCCAAGTGAGAGGTTTGGGTTGCCGTTTGGTCGATTTCAAATATCGGTTCTTCTAGTTGCACCTGTTTACTCTTTTTGTTCAAAAAAAGCAGAAGGGGCAATCTGGGACCCAAAGCTCTTTATGATAGCATCGTTTCCATGTGTTGTGGAGACAATCGCCGTAAATTATCGGCGTATTGCTTGAGCCGTCGATTTTTGAGGATCGTTGAATCGTTGGCACGGTCTTTCCGTTTTGCTTTTCCAAGCGCCTCTTTCAGAATCTGCTTTCTTTTGGCCATTGAATGCTGGTATTCGGGATTCATTGTAAGGAAGCTACGGTGGAAAGGATTGGGTGATTTTTTTTTTTTCAAAGCACAACGACGAGTGCTAACCTTTACATCAAGGATGTTCCAAGTACCGACTCATTGGATAAAATTAATCACGTATTTAACGGGAGTAATGGCACAATTACGTCGCTTAGCCATACAATTGAATGCTATAATTCGTAAGATAATCAGGTGTACAACGTAATGTACTTCCATCTTGGAGTGCACGGCCTGTTCTTTTTTTAGTTGCACTTTTTTTTTGTAATTTCCGTGTTTCAACTTAACAAAAATTAAACAAGTTTTTCTTTCATTTTGTTTTTGCGTGCATATAAGATAATTTGCAGCTTAATTCGATACCGTTGCGTACCTGAGAACAATTATGTGTGCTGCTTTAAATACCACAATCAATTAGATAAATGAACACGTTTCACCGCGCATAGTAACATTCTTGTATCTTAATTGCAAACGAGATTTCAATTATTAATCCTGGAAACCGTAGGCGCTCGCGCATGTAATTCAATTTGAAGTCGTGCAAAGTAGCTGATCGCTGCAGGCTAAGACCTCGAACACACATAAACTATTTTGTATTAAACAGAAGCCTGTTTTTTATTATACAAAACTCCAATGAGCGTCTTTGTGCATGTTATAATGTTAGTTCCTTTGTTCTTAAATGGGAAACGAGGACGGCGTTCCCTAGCGTCGCGCAGAAATTTAAGCTGACGTTATCCCACTGACATATTGTTGGAGTATTAATAGCTCTGAAAGAGTGATAGATGAGAACCTTTTTTGCTTTTATTTCTTACTGAACAATTATTTTCACGAAGTTTCTCAATTGTAACAATGACTATCCGTCAATCTGTCAAAAAAGCCGGCGTCGGTGGCGTGACGGGAAAATCCTGATTGGTGGATAGGGTCGTGACGTCAGAGCCACATGACCTCGAGCGGGAATCTCAAACAACCCACGACGCCCACGTGCAACGTCACGTCACACGTGGAATGAAAGTGGTTAAAACATGACATGTTGTGCGAATGAAATGTCGCCACATGTCTGGAATAATATCACTTTATCAAGTAATTCATTTGCATTAAAGAAAATTTCAAAGTGTTTTAGGTGGGATTCCAGCCCACGACCCTTCGGTTCCGAGCCAGACACGCTACTGACTAGGGCACTCAAGGCACGCTTGCACGGAGAATGTGAAGGCCATGCGAACGAAGGGGGGGGGGGGGGCTGATAAGGGTATCGCATTCTACTCTTGAAGGGGGAGGTTTAGCGTGCTCCAAGTTTTATATTTTATCTGGAACCCTTGACCTGAAATATTTTGTGTTGTAATCTCAGGCCAAATACAGACTCATTAAACGACTATTCTTCCTTTTTTCGGTAAGATCTAAGCTAGAATACTCTACCTATTTATGGTCTTCATACCAATAATGCATATGTAACAATCTAGATGCCGTTCAAAATAGAGCTTTTGTTTTTATTTGTTGTGGCTTCCCTTTACATACCAGTATATCAGGCTTACTGCTGTTAGCTAACTGAGACACATCGTATAAAAATTCAAAAGCGCAAGCACCAAGCAAAAGAAGAGGGAACAGGAAGGAGCGCTTACTCCAACTGGAAGTTTAATGCATTCCCCGAGGAAGACTTAAAACAAGAATTAGGCTTGTGAAGGTAAAAAAGAAGAAGAAAAATTATTGTGATAGTTTATAGATGCATTAAAAAATTCAAACTAAACCTGACTTCGCCCCTTGACACTAGCGAAAAAAGAATGTAATAAAATTTCAGAAGTATAAACAAAATCAGCACGTCGAAGCTAAGGTTAGAAAACATTAAAGCGACCCGCGTTAAGAAAAAAGGTCGACGTATCTCATCTCTTTCTCGGACAGCGCTATTGATGGTGCGCTTATGCAAGCTCCCCCGAGAGACAATATGGTTTTTGGCTTCATAGAGTTCTCTGGATCTTTTCCTTGGTGTTTGCGCTTTTGAGTTTTTATACAATGTGTAGCCAGCTAGCCCAACAGTTAATTTTGAGTCAATATCTTAGACACACCTTCTCTCTGCCGCAGTGTGTCCCGCCTCTCTCTCTTCATCAAATCTTTGATCAGAATATCCGCCACAGAGAGCCTTTGCTCTCATCTCCTCACCGTGTTATTTCTAATTTCAGAAATTCTTGTAAATTACATGCGATTTCATCGT